AATATCTGTAAAAGCTAGCTAGGATTTGGTAGGGTTTATATTTCACCTCAAGCAGAGCCACCACCAATATGTCAATGGGGGCTTGTGTATTGTTATTATGTTGAAGTTCAGTGGAGCTTCCAGACTAAGATAAACGAAGAAGATGTACACAGCCAGAGTGTTCCTTAAAAGTGAGCATGACGAGACTTCATCTCTTAAACTTTGGTTATGTTGTTGGGAGGGACCATTCCCTGAAGAAGGATATCATGCTTGGTAAAGTACAGGGTCAATGAAAAGAGGAAGACCTTCAATGAAATGGATAGACACAGTGGCTGCAATGATGGGCTCAAGTATGCCAACACTTGAGAGGATAGCTTATGACTGGGCATTGTTTTGTTCTGTTGTATCTAAGGTCACTATGAGTTGGAACTGACTTGACAACACCTAACAACAACAGGGATAAAGATCTGGCAATCTACTAAAAAATCAGCAAGTAAGAACTCTATGCATCTTAACAATCCAATTCCACTGTACGTGTGGTCACCATGTGTTAGAAGCTGACTTGATGGAAGCTAACAACAACAAAACCTTGCTTAAACTGTAGATTAATCTGGGAAGTATTGCCATCTTATCAATATTTAGTTTTTCTGTAGAGAACATAAGATAACTTTTATTCTTTAAGGTTATCTTTAATTTGTTTCTGCAGTGTTTTAGACATTTTAATCTTGTACATATTCATTAAATTTATTTTTATAAATTTTATTAGTTTAGATGCTATGGTTAATTGAATGTTTTACTTATTTTTTGCATTTTTTAGTATATAGAAATGCAGTTTTTATATATCAGTCTTGTATTCCGAACCTTGCTAAACTTCTTTATTAGTTAGTTTGTGTTTTGATTATTTATGATTTGCTATGTACAACATTATGTCAAATTTAATGAATATAGTTTTTTCTTCTTCTCAAATCAGGATGTGCTTTATTTCATTTTGTTTGTTTAATTGTCCTTGTTAGAAAATTCAGTAAAATACTGAATAGAAATGGTTTGAAGAGATATCTTTGTCTTGTCTCAATCTCATAGGGAATGGTTTCAGGCTATCACCACTACAGAAAATGCTATCTATAAGTTTTATTTGTAAGGTCCCTTTATCAGATTTTTTTTTTTTAAATCAGAATAAAGAAGTTCTCACTGAATATTAGTTTGTGTAATATATTTGTCATGAAGGAAAGTAGGAGTTTCTCAGATAGTTTTTCTTCATCTGTTGAGAGGATCATTTCATTTTTAATATGGTGTATTGTATTAATTAAGGAGCTCTGGTGGCATAGTCCCTAAGGCATTGGACTTCTAACAGAGGTTGGTGGTTCAAACCCACCAACCACTCCATGGAAGGAAGACTGAGCAATCTACTTCTGTAAAGATTTACCACCTTGGAAACCAAAAAGGGTCACTATGAGTTGGAATTGACTCGATGACAGTGAGTTTGGTTCTTTTCATTACATTAATTGATTTTGCACATTAAACAAATCTTGCATCTGGGATAAATCTTACTGTGTCATAGCGTTTGGTTTGATAGAATTTCTTAAGGATTATTTTATCTCTATTTTAAGAGGATTGTTTGTGTGTAGATTTGCTTTTTCATGGTATCTCTCTCTGGATTTTGCCTCAGAGCAACACTAAAACCAAGTTAATTCTGATTCATAGCAACCTCACAGGGTAGAGTAAAACTGTCCTATAAGGTTTTCTAACCTGTAAATCTTTACAGAAGCATATTGTCACATCATTCTCTTGCTGGTGAGTTTGAACGGACAACATTTAGGTTAGCGAATGATTGCTTTAACTACTGCACAACTAAGTCCTGTATCAGGGGGTCACTCATCTATGTCAAGAAATTTGGAAGACAGCTACCTGGCCAACTGAATGGAAGAGATCCATATTCTTGCCCATTCCAAAGAAAGGTGATCCAACAGAATGTGGAAATTATTGAACATTATCATTAATATCACCAACTCCCATTGGGTTTATATGACACAGAAGTAAAATTTTCCTGAAAGTAATTGAAAAATTGTTGCTGTAGTATATAGGGAACTGCCAGACAGAAGAGAAAGTGGAATGAAGGATATTATCACTGATGTCAGATGGAACTTGGCTGAAAACAGAGAATACCAGAAAGATGTTTACCTGTGTTTTATTAACTATGCAAAGGCATTTGTGCATAATAACAAATTATGGATAATGTTGCAAATAATACAATTTCCAGAACACTTAATTGTGTTCATGCAGAACCTGTACTTACCTCAAGAAACAGTCATTCAGATATAATAAGAGGATACTATAGGGTTTAGATCAAGAAAGATGTGCATCAGAGTTTTATCCTTTCACCATACTTACTCAGTTTTTATGCTGAGCAAATAATACGAGAAGCAGACTATATGAAGAAGAATGCAATATCAGGATTGGAGGAAGACTCATTAATGACCTTGATATGCAGATGACATTACCTTGCTTTTTGAAAGTGAAGAAGACTTGTCACACTTATTGATGAAGGTCAATGAGTATGAATTACACTTCAACAAAAAGAAAACAAAACCCTCACAGCTGGACCAATAAGCAGCAACATGGTAAATAGAGAAAATATACAAGTTGTCAAAGATTTCACTCTACTTGGATCCAATGACCATGGAAGCAGCAGTTAAGAAATCAAACGAGACATTGCATCAGACATAGCTGCTACAAAAGATGCATTGAAAGTGTTAAAAGCAAAGATGTCATGTTGGAGACTAAGGTGTGCCATGATCTTTTCAATCATCCATATACATATGAAAGCTGGACAATGAATAAGGAAGACCAAAAATACTTTATTCCTTTAAATTATAGTGTTGGTGAATAATAATAAATACACCACAAACCACAAGAAAAATGAATAAATATCACTGAAGAAGTACAGCCAGAAGGCTGCTTAGAAACAAGGATGGTGAGACTTCATCTCACATACTTTGGACATATTATCAGGATGGACCAATCCTTGGTGAAGGACATAATGCTTGGAAAAGTAGAAAGCCAGTGAAAAAGAGGAAGGCTCAAGAAGATGGATTGTTACAGTGGTTTCAACAATGGGCTCGACCATAGCAACAATTGTGAGGATAGTTCAGGACTGGGCAGTGCTTAGTCAACTGCACTAAGGGTTTCCATGAGTTGGGGCCACCTGGATGGCACTTAACAACAACAACTATGTATATATGTGTGTGTGGTTATTGTTGTTGTTTGCCATTTGGAGCCATCTGGATGGCACCTAACAACAACAACTATGTATATATGTGTGTGTGGTTATTGTTGTTGTTTGCCATTTGGAGCCATCTGGATGGCACCTAACAACAACAACTATGTATATATGTGTGTGTGGTTGTTGTTATTACTTGCCATCGATTTGGACCTGACTCATAGCGACCCCTCCTTGGGTTTCTGAGGCAGTATCACTACGGAAGTAGATTGCCCAACCTTGTGTGTGTGTGTGTGTGTATCTATCTGCCTTTCTATCTATCTATCTAAAAGAGAGAACTTTGATGGTCCTTCCCACTTCCTGAATAGTCAGTCCCACCAGTGACCTTTGACATGTGTTAAATCTGTATAGTCCACCTATACTACCATCGTTTGTTTTTGTTTTCTTAAATTGCTTGACCCATCCCAGTAGTATGTTCTCTAATATTCTTGCCTATGTTCAATTCTTTTTCTTTTTTTCATTTCATTTCTGATTTAGGTGAAAATTTACAGAGCAAATTAGTTTTCCATTCAACAACTTACAGATATTTTGTTTTGTGACATTGATTTCAATCCCCATAATGTAACAGTGGTCTTCCCACTTCCTGTCTGTTGTTACCATTTCCCTTTGTCCTTTTTTCCTATCATTTCCTGTCTTCTTATGTTTATCCCTGGGCACAAGCTGCTTTTTTGACCTCATATAATTGATTATTTTAATAAGTGCATACGTCCTTGGTGTTATTGTTCACCTTATAATCCTGTCTATCATTTGGCTGAAAGTTGAGCAAGCCACAGGGGTGAGTTCAGTTTCAAGACTGAAGGATATCTAAGGATCTTAGTCATAGACAGGTCCCCCAGTTTCCATCAAACTACTAAGCCTGCTTTTTCTTTTAATTTTTTTTTTTTTTTCATGGATGCTGGGTTCATGTGGTCCTTTATTCCTTTGGAGTAATTGTTTCCTTGCATCTTTGATTTTCCTCACTCATCTTTGCTCCCGATAGGGAGAAACCAATAGTTGCCTACATCCAATTCTTTTGTATTTTCTTTGCCAAGACAATCTCTTTACTAGAATTGAGGTCATGTTTATTTAACTCTAATATATGTGCTTTTGTCCCCTTCTATGGCTGCTGTCTATTACTAAATGAAATAAATGGCTTTTGAGGTCTTTGACATCTGACACCTGCCCACCTTTCTAACACACACATTTCTTGGCATTATACAGACTTTTCTTAAATTTTAATTTATTCATTATTTTGACTCTATTGCTCATCTTTTTCCAAAGTGACTTATACAAAGATTATCATTGCCATTCAGATGAAATCCTGCCCCAAGAACACAGGGAAATGTCGTTACTCTCTCAGAGGCGTATGCATAACTATAACACAGTATTGCAAAATTGGCATCATTAAGCTATTAGAACTATACACATTTTGTATTTGGGAATTGATGGGATGATTTCTTCAGAGAAGAGAATAATGTGTCTAGCCCAATACTAATAAGAATGCAGAGAATGGAAAGTAGAAAAAAACATTTTTTTTGAGTAAATTAAATGCTAGTTTAGGTGTAGAAGATGTACAAAAGAAATAAGGAAATCATCATTAAAACAATTTTGAGTGCCTAACTTTGCTTATAATATTGGGCTATATTTGTATATGAGAGGTTTTCTTTTTCACCATTCAGTCATTAACTGTAATGATATATATTAATTATTTTAATGACTTTTTAAAATTTTTTGACATGAAATTTATATTTGTTTTGTTTTTCAGCCAGTGTCAGATTTCTCTCAGTATATAGAAATGCATATTGTAGTTGAAAAAAATTTGGTAAGTATATTCTGATTTATTTATCTTATATCACTTGTATTATCAGTGAGACATTTTTAAAATAATTTGCAATGAAGTTTTAAAAGAAGAGAAGCTATGATAATATTTGTTTTAGCCTCTCTATAATGTGTTTAAACTTTCAGTATCAGCAGAAAATTGGAGAGCAATTCCTATTAAATGTTTATTCTTAATTTTATAGGATTTTAAGATATAAATAGTTGCTACTTTTAGGATAGTTTCTCAGTAATATTTAAAAATAGCTTCATTTCAGAACCATTATAGAAATTTATGGTATATATCCTAGCACTTTAGAAAAATAATGCTTGATATTATTTATATTATTTAAACAGGAAATAGAGTTTTCCATTCATAAATGTTTTTGGTGGGCAGGAAAAAAAAAAAAAAACTATTAATATGTAAGGGGAAGAAATATCATCCCTGAAATTTACTTTTTCCAGTATATTCCCATAAATGGAATCCAATCATTATTATTTGGAATTCCTGAAATGACTTTAGAATCATTTTCTTTTTCATTTTATTTTTTTTTTCCTCTACTCTGTGGTCAGTTTCCCAATCTTATCATCTTAAAAATGTGTAGTTTGCTCATATTGTGGAATTTCACTATACATACTTCCTCTACATTCATTTTCAGAGTTTCCTGTTTTTTTTTTTTTTTTTCAATTGATACAAAATCTTCTCTAACTTTCTGTTTATTCTTTTAAAATTGTATCTAGAGATTTTAACTCTCAAAATAAATTCTTTCATTACCGACTTGTTTTGGCACCTTCAATGAATTGAATTTTATTCAACTCTCTAATCATTTTACACTTAGTGGTAGGGCTGTAAAGAAGCTCTGGTGGAGTAGTGCCTAAGTATTTGACTGCTAACTAGATGATTGGTATTTCAAACCCACCAGCCACTATGTGGAAGGGAGACTGGGCAATCTACTTCTATAAAGATTTACTGCCTGGGAAACCCAAAGGGGGTCGCTATGAGTTGAAATCAACTTGACGCAAGTGAGTTTCTGTTTTGTTTTGTTTTTCGGTTTGGTACAGCTGTATAATCTTACTTAAATCTCTTACTGGAGGATAGATTTGTCCACAGTGATCAAAATATTTTCCAAAATAGGTGTACTATTTTCCATTCCCACCAGTGCTATATCAGTGTTCCAATTACTTCATATCTTTGCCAATACTTGTTACTGTCCTTTTCTTTGTAGCCATTTTGTTGTTGTTGTTAAGTGCCGTCGAGTCATTTCCAACGCATAGTGAACCCATGCACAGCAGAACGAAAAACTGCCTGATCCCGCACCAGCCCCACAATCCCTGCTATACTTGAGCCATCATCGCAGCCACTGTGTCAATACATCTCCTTGAAGGCCTCCCCCTCTTTCATCGACCCTCCACCCTACCAAACATGACATCCTTCTCCAGGGAATGGTCCCTTCTTACAACATGGCCAAAATAGGTGAGACGAAGTCTGGCCATTCTT